TAGAAAATTAAAAAAAAAATCAGGAAAATGAAAAGTTGGTACAATGAAAAAATTGTAGTTGATTAACTGTTTAGTTTTTTTTTTATTTGTCTTGTTTAATTTTCTGTCTAAATTTATACAGTGTAGATTAGAAAAGAAAAATCCAATGATTTTCTTATGTTATTTTTTATTGTGCATGAGTAGATGTAAGTTTGTGTTTATTAATTATTATTTGTTCCTTATTTTTATCGTTTTATAAAAAGAGGATTGTCGCATATTTGAATGTATTGCATGTTGTGGGTAGACCAGTGTGGAATAAACCAGTCGAAGCTCGACCGCCCCGTGTTTGATTACCGTGCCCTCGTCGTACATATATAACATAACTTTGCTTAATATATATAATATCGTGTAACAATAAAATAAACCGAGGAGAGGTATTAGCCTGTGCTACCTGTAAGGGATGCTATCATTATAAGTGTATAAATATGACGTTGAACACCTATACTGCCAATAAACATAACTGGCTATGCCCTTCTCGTGTAATGGCTACGAGATGTGTTCGAGGCGATGAGACACCAACCCGTAGACAGTTCGAGAAGCTCCTAGTTGAGGCTGACATATCTTGCGACAACTTAGTTTCCGGCTGCATCGCAACTAATGATGGTGACGAATCGACAAGCACCCGTGAAGTAAATATTTCTCAAGTTTTAAAGAAGCTGCGAGCATTTAGGAACGATTTTGTTGGCATGAAGTCAGATATTCAAAGAGTGACTGATAGCTTTCTGGAAATTAATAAAAAATGTAGTGAAATGGAATCTCGTTTCAGTGACATTGAAGATAGGTTAATATTAAATGAAAACAAAACGGCGTTGATTCCTAAATTAAAACAAGACCTAGACGGTACCAACTAGCTAGGATGAACAACGTCGAGATATCCGGGATACCTATTGCTGCTGGTGAGAACCTCTCCACGCTAATACGGGCCATATCTAATAAGGTTGGTTACTCACTAGACGACCGTGACATCGATGGTGTCACGCGTGTACGGAGGTTCGAAGCGAGCAGTGTGTATGCAGAATTAAGCGTTTAAGGTCAGAAGCGCGAGGGACGCTTGATTTATTTAAATTTTTATCATTTTAAAATTCGCTCGGTGGCTGTGTAAGGATAAATCCCTAGCAGCAGTGCGCTCGCGACGCGGCCTGACTACTGCCGATGTCGATTTTTCGGGTCCCTCTCTAAACGTGTATGTGTCGGATCACCTCACTACTCGAAACAAACAATTATTAAAGCGTGCCAGACAGATCAAAACTGACTTGAATTATTCTTATTTATGGGTTAGAGTCTGTAAGATATTGATGTGCAAAAACGAAAGGTCAAAGGTTGTCGTCATCAGGAATAATGCCGACATATCCAAGTTAAAATGACTTCTAAACGATTTTTTTATATTTTTAATCATTAAACAGTGGCTTTTTAATTTTTTTACCACTGTAGATAGATCCATACGTTCGTTTCTTATTGCAATTATGTGTTTTTGTTATTCTACGTTAAGTGATGCGGTAACTATTTTTTCTGTTTCTGTACAATTGACGCTTTTTCTAAAATATTTACATTTAATCCTATTACGAAATTACTTCTTGCTACAATATAAATAAAATTGCATATTAAAATTTAATTACTTCTAATTACTTAATCAATTTTAATGGTCTCAGGGCGAATAATAAATACGTGTTTATATTAATTAACTATTATGGATCCGACAACTAAACATCTGTTAGGTTATTATCAGAATGTAAGGGGTTTACGTACGAAATCCTACGACTTTCTATCCCAGATAGCTATAACTGACTACGATTTTGTATGTGTGACTGAAACCTGGTTAACACCTGATTTTTACGACCGAGAGTATTTTGATAGTAGGCACTTTGTGTTTCGCTGTGACCGCTCGCATGAGAGCGGTGCGATGCGTGGCGGTGGAGTCATGGTTGCAGTGCGCACTGTATTGATGCCGCTGCGTCGGAACTGGCCGACGCCACCGCGCGCTGCTTCCGACTGCATTTGGCTATCCATACTCCTAAATACAGGTAGTAGTAATAGATGTTTAAACATCGCCTGTGTTTGCATACCACATGGATCAGGCTACCGTGACGCGCTGGAAGCATTTTTTATTGTGCTAGCGATATATTTAATAATCGGCCAAATGATATATTTTTAATTGTGGGTGATTTTAATGTTTCTGAAGCGGTTTGGCAGGAGACTCGCACTTTCAGCAAATTACTACAAGAAGGTGGTGACTATGCTGTAAGATCGTTGAGAGATTTTTTAGCGTTCACTAATCTACAGCATTTTAATGGTGCTTATAACACCAATAACAGAATCTTGGACCTAGTGATGAGTAATATTAACTGCAATGTCACGACTTGCTGTCAACCGTTAACCCAAGAGGATATCCATCATAAGTCAATAGAAATTTGTTTGAATGTTAATAACTTTAAGTCTTTAAATTCAGTACCCACCTATAATTATAACTTCTATGCAGCAGATTTTCTTTCTATTAATGAGGAACTTACAAACATAGACTGGCCTGAAATATTTAAAGCTTTAAGCTTAGAGGAATGTATTTCGAAACTTTACTGCATTGTAAGGAATTGTATTACAAAGTTTGTTCCTTGAAAGATTATCAGATCTTCGCAGTCCTTTCCTGTATGGCATACTAAGCCCTTAAGAAAATTTTTGAATGAGAAAAGAAAATATCACAAACTGTGGAAGTTGTATGGGAATCCCTTGGACTATCAAAGTTTCAGTGTTCTGAGAAAAAGAGCCAATCGCATGGAAACCGAATGTTACAATAATTATATACAGTATATAGAAAATAAAATTCAAACAAACTCTAAGTATTTCTGGACCTATGTCAAAGCTATTAAGGCTAATAATGGGCTACCGCAAACGATGACCTTTAACGGGAAAAGTAGTAGCGATGGGAAGCAAAATTTGTTAATTCTTTAATGAACACTTTCATTCGGTTTTCGTAAATAATACTAGCCAATCGCTGCCTAATCAATTGGACGCTCCCGTAAACATAATTTTGGATATTGGTTCCGTCGAGATTCACCTTAAGTTGGTAAACAAATATTTAAAAAAAATTAACGTCAACAAGGGTGTGGGGCCGGATGGGATACATCCTTTGTTAATTAGCAAGTGTGCTGATGCGCTGACTTATCCCCTCACTCACATTTTCAAATTATCTTTTAGCAGTGGTTGCGTGTCTAAAGTCTGGAAGTATGCTTGGATAACGCCTATACCTAAGGGTAACGTGTGTGAGGATGTCACTAATTATCGGCCGATTTCCAAACTGTGCCATTTCGCTAAGATACAGGAAAGGATTGTTACTGATCCACTGTTTGGGGTTGTGCAGCGCGTTATTGTCCCGAACCAACATGGCTTTTGTAGAAAGCGTGGTGTGGATAGCAATTTGTTAACTTTTACGGAGCTTATACTGTCAGCAATGGATGATAACGCACAAGTAGATGCTATATATACAGATATACAGATTACAGCGAAAGCATTTGATAAAATTTGTCATAACACACTACTTTTTAAGCTCTGGCAGCTCGGAATTCGCGGTGACTTGTTCCGATGGATACATTCATACGTGGAAAACCGTAGTCAGGCTGTTACACTCTGCGGTTACTGTTCTATATACAAGAATATACCCTCTGGAGTGCCTCAAGGATCTCATTTGGGACCTTTGTTATTTATTATTTATATCAATGATCTGACTAAATCCATAAGTCACTCAAACGTACTACTATATGCGGATGATACAAAGTTATACAGAGTTGTAAAGGAAACAAATGATGCTGCGTTACTGCAAAGTGATTTAAATGATTTTGTTCATTTTTGTAACAGTTACAATTTATTTCTGAATGCAGATAAATGTTTTACCATTTCTTTTACAAGGAAAATAAATTCAATAATGTACCCTTACAAAATTTGTGGACAGGATCTGAATCGCGTAAGTGAGATTAGAGACCTGGGTGTGGTAATAGACTCCAAACTTTCATTTATCCCCCATATAGATAAGATTGTTAATAAGGTACTCGAGGCATTTAACGCCCACCTAACATGAAATCTTTTTTTTTACTATAAATATCATATAATTGTGACAAGTAATTTTACAAAAATAATAAATATAGTTTTCTGAGTCGAAACATGTTAGTTATGTGCTATATCTATTTATGATTTTCATGCTAATATCATGTTTTTAAAAACCTTGTATTGGGCGTTATTAAAAATAATGTGTTAATTAGCGCCCAGTTCCCAAATAACATGCTGGATGGCAAAACAACCTTTATGGATGCCATATATCGAATAAAACACAATAGTTGCATATAAATTTCTTTAATTGCCATAACAGAAATATTTAAAATCAACATTTAACATAAAAAATATCAAACTTCTTGACAACTCTAAACTATCTTGAACCCTTCGTTAACAATCATTTTAAACATAATTTTTCAATTCTAACATAAACCGTTATACACATTAACCGTAATAATGCAATTTTTTTCAAAAAATACAATGTTGTAACTTAGCCTACATTGGGCGTTATTAAACTATGAAGAGCAGTTGCGCCCTGAGAGGATGGGACTTTAACGCTCATTCATAACAAGTCTTTATAGGAGATCTGGCAACTTACAAACTATAGAGGTAGTAGCACCCAGTATCATATTTATTAATAACAATTAGTATTCTCGTATATACATAACTTAAGTCATAGTATTTGTCAGTCTGTGATTGCTTTGCAACTTAAGAATTAGTGATAACAATCTGAGCAAACAAATTCTTTGTCATCTTTCGTAAGACCAACACAGTCTTCATGGTACCACTTCTTACATTTGCTACATTGTCGCATAGACAATATTTCACTGTTACAGCATGCATGGCAATACCACTCTTCTGTATTATCATTTTCTTTGTTTTTAATTTCTTTGGTTTTTCCTTTTTTATTTGGTTTCTCAGACTTTCTATTCGTTTTTTTCTCTCTTAGAGTTTTCGTATGTTTTGCATTATTTTCCTGTTCTTTTTTATTTTTAACCTTCTTTATATTCCTTTGCTTTGTATTTTTGTCTTCTGCGAATAGATCCTTAGTAATCCTTTGACCTTTATAGTTGATCGCTTTTTTACGCGGATGTTTAGTTTTAACAACTGCATATTTGGGCGTTGGCAGAAATTCTTGAAATGGTGTTTTACTATTTTGTTTATTTAATGTGCTTAATGGAAGATTATCTTCACTATCATCCGAACAAGTAAAACCATCAGAATTTGTTTTATGAATATCTCGCGATAAATTATAAATGGTCTGTTTTTTGGGTGTAGTATATACCTTGTTAAAAGAACTTTCATTCTCCTCTTCAGATGACGTATATACATCCGCTACTGCAAGTTTGGAATAATTTTGGTTTAGGTGAAAATCCACTTCTGACACAGAACTTGCAATACTGGTTATAGGACTTATTCCTCTATTATCCTGAACATTTGATATTAGCAACCTTGAACAGCTTGCTTCTAATGCTGAACAAGTTGCTGCTAAAATAGAAGGTGATGAAGCAGAAGGTCCGGTATCTTCTTTCTCTCTTTTTTCTTCTTCTTCTCCTTCTGAAAATTCCGTAGATGAACTATATTCTACAAGACGTGATTTTGTTCTTGTACTATCTTTGAAAGTTACTTCTGATTGTATAGAAATATCTTGAAAGTTACCAGCATAATCGAGTAGTCTAGTGTTTGACATGAACTGTTTGTGAGTTGGTGGGGGTAGAGTTTTTGATAACATCGACGGTTTAGCAGTGTCTTCTTCTGATCCGATGTCCTGCATGAGCTGCTCACAAGCGGGGAGGCATGGAATATCTGATGGAAACGTTGAGTTGCCTGTATCAGCGTCTAGATCTGAATCCTGCATTGGTTGCTGCTGAATTGCAGAGCAAGGAATTTCTGATAAAATCGATGGAGCATATGCCTCTTCTGGGATTGCTTCAGGATTGAAAGGGAAGAGTCCCGTTGCCTTAAAACCATTTACTATGTTGCTGTGTGTCATACATTTAGGCCAGACTTGACTAAAAATTTTATTAAACGTGGATTTGGTCATTTTTTTATCTGCGTTTGCATATAAAAAATTCATTGCAGCTTCATCCCAGTGGTGTTCAAAGGACTTGTTTACTGATTTGTCCAAAGGTTGAAGCTCATGCGTAGTATTTGAAGGGAGACAATACAAGACTATGTCATTTTTTTCAGCTTCATCGAGTGCCTCGCATGAGAGGTGACATTTAGCACCATCAAAAACCAACAAACATTTCCCAGCTACCTTGAATTGACTTAGGTGCTTAATGAATTCAACAAATAAGTCAGACGTCATGCTACCCTTCGGGGCCATTCTAACTAGTGTCCCAGCTGGTAAGTTTTCTGACAAATCAGGTCTTTGTCTTTGCCCTTTAAACAATATCATTGGCGGGATTGCTGTACCGATGGCATTTACGCACATCGTTATAGTCACATTTTCTGCGTGTTCGGGGGCGATAAGATGAACTCTTTTACTTCCTTTTTTGTTTTGTTTGTGTTTTTGTGTTTTTATTTTTTATTTTTTGCTGTTATGTACGTGTGAATGTAGTAACAAATAAACATTTTATCTATCTATCTATCTATCTTTTTCCGCCAACACGGTTTGTTGTTTATGTACAGTTATACGGCATCCTTTTTCATCCATATTGTACAATATCTCCGGATGTCGTAGGATGTCTAACTCATCATATAACTTTTTCACAGCCTGAAAATGTTGCTCCACGATGGATTTGTTTAACTTTTGAGCTCGAGCTGGATTCATTATCTGTAGCTTCCTTTTGCTGATTGATGGATTGCGTTTCAAAAAGAGTCTTAGCCAATCGGCACCGGCTATCCTTTTTACTTCATTGAAGTTATTTTTTATATCATATCTCTCACAAAAAAGGTACGCTTGTTTTCTAATGAATTTTGGTGTGAGGGGTACTCCAATTTTTGCAAATCTTTTTATTCTTGCAACCAAATCAGATTCCTGTGTATCTGTAAAAATTGGTTTTCGCCCCAAACGCTTTGTAACGCTTCCTATTTTCAAATGGTCCCTTAAAGTTCGTCGTGGTATATTATAACTTGTAGATGCAGCTCTCTGAGTGAGCTGACATCTTTGCACAGCTTTAATTGCAGCTCTCATTCCATCTTCAGTCCATGACTCCCCTCTTTTTTTTTTACTCGTTGAACTCGGCGTTGTCATTATACCTTCCTAAAGAGAGAGAAAGACAGTTTAAAAAATAATTTATTTATTTATTTATTTATTTATTTATGGCATAGCTACAGAGTACAAACTGAGACATTGCTTAAAATTAACTTATACTACAATCTGAGTTAATTTGCACTCCTATGACAGCCACGCACGACATTTGCGAGGTAAATAAATGTACTTTTAAATTAACAAACTAGAAAAAATAATCAAACTCTACTCAAAAACTATAGTAAAAAATAATAATAATAATTAATTAGTACAAATCATGTTACACATACATAATATTAAGAATAAGATTTTTAAATAAACAACATATTCAGTTTGTCCTTACAAATATTTAAATAAGTATATCGACTGTGGGAGAATATGTCCAAGTCCTTACACAAGTCATTATGGGCTCTACACATACGGTAAATAGGATCGTTATATAATTTAAACATTAAAATAAAAAGTATTGAAATAAAACACAATTTTCGGTTTACACGCTCGTTTTAGTATATTAAAAGCAAAATTCACTCAAAGTACTCATGTAAGGATAAGAAGTATGTTAAATTACGAAATTGCGACAAATTCAGAAATTGAACGTTATTTTGAAATTTAGTTTCGCATTTCAGCTCACCTGCAGTGGAATATCACAAGCTCTTAATGATAATCACAGAAAAGGCTATTACAGGTGGCTGCGAATTATTAGGTACTATTGTTTTTTCCATATTATAAATACGCCCACTTGTAGGTCTATAGCGCCCAATAAGGATAACACCGCCCAATGGTCTCTGGACCGGGCGTTATTAACCGAATAACCGTTATTGACAACTAGATAATTTTTTACATAATAATGTAAACAAGTTTTTAAAAATCAACGAAATATGATGGGTGAATACCTACACTACAATACAAATATAAAATTTTAAAAGAAATATAGTAAAGTATCACGCAACTTACAATTTCTTTCAAGCAATTCTTATAACAGCGACGTCCGTGACCGATGTCCTCGAAGCACAGCGCGTCACTCGCAACACAGGGGCCCGAGAGCCTTACACTTACGATAGGCGGGTTCCTATTGGTGAACTCTATGTGTGTGTGAGTCCTAACGCGGTTAACTCAAATAGAAGTGCGTTTTCTTTCGTTTGGGCGTTATTTCACAGAGGGCGTTAATTGCCTTACCTACCTTAGGTCATACAAATTTTTGGGTTTTATATTATGCGTAGGAAAGCCATTTAAAAACGCTTCTACCTATAAACTGTTATTCAACAGTTACGTGAGAAGTCGGCTGGAATTCGCAAGTCCAGTTTGGAATCCGTATCAACAGGTTCATCAAATTAAAATTTGCAACGAAAATTTGTTAAATCCTTGGATTATAGAATCGGTCACCAGCACACAGATTATAACTCATCCCTTACATTCCATAAAATTAACACCTTGAAGCAACGTCGCGAAATCGCTGACGTCACGTACTTGTTTAAAATATTACATAACATGGTTGATGCCCCTTTCCTATTGGGACAAATTTATTTTCGTGTACCTTATAAGCAAGAAAGAACAAGTCGTAAAAAACCACTATTTGCCATTAAACCAAGTAAGACCTGCTATGGAAGTAATAGTTTTATAAAGAGAGCATGTACCTTATATAGTAGCAAATTAATGAGTATAGAAATATTTGATAAGTCGCTATTAAGATTTTAAAACCACATTACTGAACTTATATAAAATCAAACTAATACTATGGATAAATAATGTTCAAACCGTTTTCGTGATTTCTTTGTTTTTTTTTTGTTGTCTGTTATTGTAGTGTGACTTGTCTTGTTGTATTTTCACTGCTTCCTCTTGTTTGCATATTATGTCGATGGTTGTGAGGTATACATATAGATTATAGGTTCTCCTAGTAACAAGTGAGCCGTCTTGAGTCTTGAGCTTTATAATGGAGTCAGGAGTCCTGCAGTAAAACAAATAAATAATGATTGGTGCTTAACATTTACGTAATACCATCAAAAATGTGTAATCTCTATAGTAGTATGTAGTAGCAGTATAATAATATGTTGTTCTTACCTAAAGTTTCTGGCCTGCATACCACCCATTCTCATTGCTCTTGATAAACGTTGACGCTCATATTTAACATCTCTGGATTTGATTGAAAGAATATAAGTTGTGATTCATGTTATTGTCTGAAATGAAATTTACCTTATTAATATTTAGATTGTATTATATTTATAGTAATTAATTAATTGTAATATAATTAGTTAACTATTGTGCTTACCTTAAGTGGAAACCATGTTTTCGTATGTTATTTCCAATGTAAGTCTTTCCGGGGTTTTCGCATGCCGTGATAGCAATATTATTATTATAAATTGTATATAACACAAATTGGAAATAGCTGAACTGGTTCACTGATGGATTGCAAAGACTATATACTTCTTTTTATTTAACATTTTTTTTCTCATTCAATGCATTGTTAATAATTTAATAATGATTTTTCAATTAATTTACGACTTGTGTTCCGTTACGTAATGACACGACCGGTCCTGAGCGCAATGAGTTACCTCTGTGTGCGCTCTTGCAGTTTATTAATATGTTTGTTCTGTTCCGTTGTTCCTGTGCATGAGTTTTTTGTGTTGTATGTGTTATGTCTATATGTCTGTGGCTATATCCATTCATAACTTAAAATTGTTTATCATAGACCACATACATACTTTTTTTTCTTCCGTGTTATTTATTGCGTATCAGATTGTCTGTTTACTTACTTTTTGTTTTATTTAATGTATATTTAGGGGACTATGGGTTTATTTATAAGTTAATTTTAAAATATGTATTTTTTTACATGTGTGTAACTGTCCCTCAATAAACAAAAAATAAATAAATAAAATAAAATAAAATAAAAAAGAATTGATTAAATAAACAATGACCAACACAGAAAAAGAAAATTATTATTTTGTGAAGGAGAAAAAGTGATGGTGAGAGATCAGCGTAAAAATAAAAAACGGTGATCTTTAGGGAAAACAATAAAAATTTAGTACCAAACACAACCTTTATTGTAGATGTGGAGGGCCAGCAATGGAAACGACATGCAAACCAACTATTAGAATGTTCCCAATGTTTAGGAGAATTGATTTTATTTATTTTGTACAACTTACACTTACAGTACTTATAACTAAACATGTGAGTCATAGTCACAAAAAAGGTTGAGTCGATCACCGGCCCAAGATAGTATGCGGAATTTGGACCACAGAGCTTTGGGCGGTGACCGCCTCCAAATAGTAACCAGCGGATGTTAGAAATTTTTATTCAGTGTTACTGACCACGTCAATAGCATTTGTTTTGCTTAAGGATTCAATTACGGCTAGGGCTTCGAAGAATGGTGTCCATCTTAGTGCCACACTGTGTGGGTTAAATGAAAGTTGAATAGAGGGTATTTGCGCTGACGAAGGACGTAATGTGAGATTGGCAGGATAAAAAAAAGAATTTGAGCCAATAGAGGAGGGTTAATACATCCTCTTATTAGGTTAAAAATATATTTTAGAAGCGGCAGTTTTCGCCTTATCTCAAGCGATCTATACGATACCATGCCCAAAATAAAGGGTGTATATACATATAAGGATAGTACCCATAACGTTTACTATACAAATATCTCAAAAATGATTTCTGGATTCGTTCCAACATTGCCATATAGACTTTATTGTGGGGATTCCACACTGCACACGTAGCTTCCAATTTACTTCGAACAAAGGCGATATCCGCTCTCAAGATGCGCTACCCCCACCTACTCGGCCCTTAAAGGATAGGATAAACCTACCACAAAATGGCGGCTATCCGGTTTCGCAAATTAGAAAAGCATTCAGTTTAAATACAAGTTTTTATATATAAAAAATATTATTCTGCATTGCTAAATAAATACCCTTCGTATTACCAATAAAAACATCTCAAATAAAATGCAGTAACACATCGCAAATCCTGCACTTAAAAAGCACTAATGAAATTTTTGGTGTACTTGCATAAATATGATAATATTCCGTTTGAGTGATTCAAACGTTTACCATGAAATTACACCTTAAAGTATAGTTTATAAATATTTATATTCAGGGTAAACTTCTTTATTTCTCGAAAAATAAGACAAAAATACGGTGGAAAATTATTACGTCATTTTGACATTTAACAAAGACGTTGTGATAATTCTCTTGTATTTTGATAATTAATATCTCGTGATTTAGTAGCTTTTTAAAAAAGAAATATTAACAACAGTAGTAAAAAGCTATCTAACCTACTATTGTAGGAGTGGCGAAAATTAAGAGTCGGACGGGCAGCGTAACGGCTTTTATTCAAATTTTTTTTTTGGGGGTAGACCTCTAACTTAAAAGTTGAATTTTAGTTGCGGAATATATTTTAATTAAAATAAATAATTAAATAACACTTATAGGCAAAATATTTACATATTATGACAGTTTAGGCTACAGTACCTGTTGGCAGTCTAGAATCCTTACAGTTACTCCTCACTTACAACAAATCACAAAAAGCACACAACATTCACATGGAGGGCATCAAAGGCAGTGTAGAGGCACTTTCTCAATCTTTTTCTGCACGGATGACTGCATTTGAAGACGAACTTAAGAAGATCTCGCCTGGTGGTGGTGTCTCCAGCAGTGGCCTTGCTCAAGAGTTCCAGCAATTCCAAACATTTATATTGTCTGCACTGGTTAGTCTTCAAAAGCAGTTAAACTTGCTCATGTCCGAGTGTGATGCAATAGAAATGCGTTCTAGGCGCAAGATGTTACTGCTTCATGGAATACCTGAAGCTAAGAATGAAGACACCACCCAGGTGGTACTTAATGCAGTCTTAAAGCATCCAGGTTTGCCAGTTATAAAGCCAGATGACATCAGGCGAGTTCATCGTATGGGGCGTGCCACCAAAGAAAAGCCTCGCCCCCTTGTTATAAAATTCTGCTCACAGGATCTTCGTGACAAGGTATGGTTTTCTAAAAGTCAACTCAAAGGAAGTGGGT